AGACATCTAGAGCTTGTACTAGACTGTTAGACTTACTGAGGAATCCTTTCTTTCTTTCTCACTTCTTCATGTATCTTGTTAATAAACCCTCATTAAATGAGGTAGTCTGAACATAGTTCTATTCCTTGCAAGCTAAGAAAGCTAATTAACAGAGATGTATAGGTTATGTAGAGCATTAAAACACAGCAAATGCTAAAATTGATTTAAATGCATCTAATTTAAAGCAAGACATAGGAATCCTTTTATAAAACCTATTTATTTTCCTGCCTACACACTCAACTCTAGATCTTAGAGTTGATGCTCCCAAATTACCGAAAAACAATAAAGCCAACATGTTTCTATTACATGCTGACATGCTTAGGTACCAAGACTGTGTATGTATATTTGTATGTTTATACACACAGAATATATGTGTGTGTGTGTGTGTGTGTATATATCCGTAATATAAATTTAACTCTCAAAAGGATTCTATAAGATAATTATCATCTCTAATATACAAATAAAGGAAACTGAGGCACAGAAAGCTGGGAGATTAAGGAACTTTTCCAAGGTCACACTGTTAGTCCTGGTGGAGCCAGGATTTTATCCAGACAATCTGGTTCTAGCATCATGCTCTTAACCATTGCATCATACTGACCTCTCCTTCACTTGTTTTATTTTCTCTGAACACATAAATACCCTCGGGCCACTACCCATCACTAAACAATATATCATTAAAAAAATTAAAGAGGCTAGAAAAAATACTCTTTAGAATACTTTTGGAAATAAACAATCTTTATGATTCTTACTGCTTCAGGAAAAGGCAACAGATTAAGAAATGTGCTGATGAGTGAATGAAGAACCTCTGTCTTCCTGCCCACTGCATTTCCAGCTATGATGATACTCAGATTAGACAAGCAAGCAAGTCATTCCAGCTTTCTGATATCAGCCAAGAAAAATCATCCTCAGGACCAGTTGCCAACAGCATGCCCTTTAGTCTTTGGTCTGTATGCCAAGCCCCAGCTGTTCTGTCAGCCTTCCTTATATACTTTGTTGACAATGAAGAGGCCCAGATAATTTTTCAACTGGCATTATAAGCTGAAACGGATTCACCTGCAAACACCTTAATTACCTCTACAAAAAAAAATATATTGATACCAAAAGAATACATTTTTTTTTAGGGCCAAAACACATTGAAATGGTTCCAAAAAATGGAATTGTTAAGGAAAAAAAATCAATGATCTACTCTTTTATTTCAGAACTTAGTTGGGTTTGCCTAGAGGTCAAAGATTGTGCTACTGATTGTGAATGATAAAAGGGAAAATATATGGAGAAAATGGAAAATTTCCAATATTAAAGAGACAGGAGGATGGAGAGAGAGGCAGCAGAACAACACCTGGGGTGAGTTAGAAACAGGGATAAGAAGTTGCATTTTAAAATACGACTTGGAGTTCAGAAGGTGTCAGTTTAGTACACTCAGTGTGGGACTAATGGGAGCCTTGATGAGTCTTCTCTTGCCATAAATTGCCTCTCATAAAGCTCTTTAAGGCTTCTTTTACATGTGTTTGCACCCTCTTGTTTAGATTCAAACTTTTGATTCTGAAATTTCTATTCCACATCTACAAAATAAATATTATAATAAAATTCTAACAATACTGTATTTTGAGTTAATCTTCTCTTAAGTCTATCGTTTAAATTTTTGGTAATATTATTTTCACTGGACTTCCATTGTTTTCTGTATAAATTTTAAAATGAAAACACTTTACATATCTATTTCCCTGTTTGAAAATTTAATCATTATCAGTCATCAGTCTGTCCTTGTATGTTGTCTTTTGGAATCATTTTTTTCTGTCAAGCCAAATTATCCTGGTTCAAATTGTATATATCTAAATTTCATGAATAGAATTTTATTAATCTATTTTCAGTTAATAGCTAATGTTATAATTTGAAATTTTAGTTATGAGTTTTCCTTTTTCAACAATTTTTAATAATTATTCTTTCTAGATTACTTTTTTTTTTTTCTTTTCATTTTACCAACAGCACGAGTTTTATTGAACATACTTTACCATTTCTGTTTTAGCCAAGGTCTTATCTATTTAATGCTTCATTCTGTGACTCTTCATATTCCTATTTTTTTTCATTTCAGGGTCAAAATGCTAAATCAAAAGATCCTTGAGTTAAGGATCCTTCAGTAAAAGTTAAGAATTACAGAAGTAAAAAACAGGGTTAAAATGGTGAGTTCATAAAATCTCCACATTATTCTTTACTTTTTCCTCTGTAGTTTTGTTAGCTGGATTTTTTTTTTTTACTGTAAGACCAATACTTAAAATATCTAACTTTGTCTAGTAAATAAGACTTCTTTTCCTACCATAGTGCTTGTGTTAATTACAAATATGAATTTTGAGGTAGTCAGGTTATTGACAATAAGAACGATCAATTACTGAGTAAAACATTCCAATATTCTGCATTCAAATTAGGTTTTTGCATCATATATATGTAAAGCCTAAATCTATTATCTTCTATGTAACTGTTTCGTTTGTTTCTACAAGTTTTTTGTCCTGTTTTTGGGATTTGTTTGTTTTGCTGTTGTTTATCTGTTTGAGACAGGGTCTCTCTCTGTTGCCCAGACTGGAATGTGCTGGTGCAACTATGACTCCATGCAGCCTTAACCTTCTGGGCTTAAGGGATTCTCCCATGTCAGCCTCCAGAGCAGGTGAGACTACGCCTGGCTAATTAATTTTTTTTTTTTTTTTTTGTAGAGACACTGTCCTCCTTTTACCCAGGCTGATCTCCAACTCCTGGCCTCAAGATATCTCCATGACTCAGCCTTGCAAAGTGCTGAGGTTATAAGTGTAAGCCACCTTACCTGGGCTTTCTTTATATATCATTGTAATTTTAGTGCCCTTTTAAAGTCTCCATTTTTATTGTTTCATTAAATTAGCTGAAGAAAGCTATAGCTGATGATTCTGAAGGCCTGAGTGCATACAGAATCTGTGACTGTTTGTTTTTCAAGGTTTTCTATGAATAAAATGGCTAGGAGTAAGAAAAGTACCCGTGAGTTCATGCATCACATTCTTCAGAACAAATACCTCTCAGTTGCAATTATGTCATCATGAAATCATGTTCCACATTTTAAAATAAACTCATTGCCATATGAATTGTTATCCTACTGAGATATTTTTGTAGCTGTCTGTTTAACAGCTTCCTTAGAAGTGTCTTCTACATTTCTCACGATATCAAAACAAAAATTTCTTTTTTCATGTTATACACAGGAATAGCTCAAGTTTGAATGTTCTGAATTCCCCAGTCTCGTCCGGCATTGCACATATATTTGCACTTGAGTTACACACACAGACAGGCAGACACACACAAACACACACACACACACACACACACACACACAGTTTTAGCTAAATATTCTAAAATATACACTTGTTGACTTCCGAGAAAAGTCAGAATGTTTTCTCCAGCGTCACAGTTCGGGACTCACCTGTGGACGTGGATGTCCTGTCACTAGACAAGTCAATTCTAGGGTTTCTCCTTCCCGGATAGTGTAGACCCTTTCAGAGTAGCGCTCCTCTTCAATGTTACAGGCCAAGCCTGAGTGCACAATACGAACTGTGGGAGGCGCTGTCGAGTCAGGAAGAAGAGAGACAAAATACATGAAAAGGTAAGTAAATGATCTCATGAACCATCTTGACTATAGAAGCAACTCCTATTAGACTTCACCATAGTCAGATTAGTCAGATTCATCAGTCTTAACACCTCCCCAAGGCATTAAAGATTTTGCTGGAAGAAATCTTCGAATTTATCTAGCAGTGACCAATACATTTGCAGGGGAACAAGTTAGTGGGAGAACATTGGTGCCTCAGGAAAGTACCATCAATACAAGACCACAAGATAAAATTTGATTGTTAAAATGTGAGAAGACCCCTTCCTTTCTGAGTTCAAACTTTAATAAGGAATATTGTACCAAAAATATGTAGTGCAAAAGAAAGAAGACAACTGGAAGAGAAAAAGAAATTTGAATTGAAGGCATTGACATTTATCTATTAATTACTTAAGTCACGTAGCCCAAAAGCTAAACTCATGAATAAGATGATCTGGTTTTCAGGAAGTGAAAACCAACTTAATTTACAATACTTATAGACACCTGTATTGATGTAAACAAAGTATGATTCTGGATTCAGCCATTGAAGAAGGCAATAAACCAGTGTTGCCTGGATCTAAAATTCTGATTCAAAAGAAATTTCATTAACATAAAGCTGCCCAAATTTCTAAATATAATTTTCTCCTACTTCAGTGCCACGGGGCCAATTAAATTTAACTAACATTCCTTGACTTACATATCCTAGGAAACAACTGCATGGAAACTCTGTGAGTCATGAGAAGTACTTAGCTAATAAGATATGGTGCTTGCTATCAAGTAAATTATTGACAGCTACTACCTTCAAATTGGAGATAATCTCCTTTTGTGAACTCAACGTTTTTGTTTGTAATACATCTGGGAATGAAAGAGAAATGATTATTTCAGTTAAAGGCAAGTGGAAAGGCTATATCTACATGTAAACCACAGTGATCTCAAGAATTTCCTGATAGATATCTATCTTCAACCTAAACAGTAGTGTTACTAGCAGAGGTTGTGATTGCTTAAAAATTAATGCCAGTGCCAGCATATTAGGAATGTTTTATTTATTAAAAAGTTGATGAATACTATAGAATTTTAAAACAAATTTGCTGTTTCTATGGAAGAAAAAAAATTATAAGGCCAACTCATGAAAAAATTCATTCTGAGGAAAATCTGTTTTGAAGGCAAAATAGAATAATTTTCAATACGTACTATTTTGGTTTATATAACATAAATGCACAGTCTACCCATAGAGCTTAATAACTGACATCAGGGCATATTTCATTATCTTCCTCAATTACAGGCAGAAAATGGAAGATGGAAAGGCCCACTTATGATTAATAAAACAAATGGTTAGGTCCAGCATAATCCTGTTACTCAACCTTGAAACTCAGAACCCTGCTTTCCAACATCCATCATCAAAATGACAGGCAAAAGTTTCAAATAATAGACTAAGAACCAAAGAATACTTCTAGATAAGTGTCCTTTACATTAAATATGCATAATAAACACCCCTCAAGAACTTGTTAAAAATACGCATTTCAGAGGTGTTCAGAGACCTGATGTATCTGCAGGAAACCCCAGGAATTTCCATTTTTGCCAAACACCCAAATAGCTACAATGGCACAGCTACTTAGACTAGATTCTGGGTGTTACATTTGTTGGCTAAAGAAAATTACTCCAAGGAATAAAACATTATTTTTCTTCGTCTTTTTAAAGTAAACTTTCAGTTATGTATCATTTCACTGATTTGAAAAATTAAATGATGCTTACGTCAAATGTCCAGTTTGGTCTATAAAATCAATTTATTAAAAATTTTCCACCATGTCTCTAGACTGTGTCTAGACATTGTAATAATTTGTTTGGTTTTATGACATTAGAAATCCCTATATTTAGTGTTTCTCTGGGTGCTCTGATGTTTCACACCATGTTTCCTACAAATCATTTCAGGCAGTGATCAAATTAGGACTTCAATTCAGATAAGTAATACTAGTGAGGTAGTTATTTTTCGACATGTGTCTAATATAGTCATATCTATATTATAGAGGTTAACAAGCTGATAAAAATTTATAAATTCTTGCAAAATAAAATAAATGTTCAATACAAAATAGAAAGCTATTCTCTTAAAATATATTTCCATGCTAAATTTAGCTTTGTGATAGCCCACATGCTTGTTAATATATCTAATTATATAGTGACATGACACCTTTTCCAGACTAATTTACACTTTTTATTTTTAATTTCAAATCAATGGATAGTATTGTTATTTTTAAGATATATCTTTCAAAAACGTCATTATGCAAATAAGTAGCTTTATTTAAACCACTTAAATTATACAGTAAGCACACCGTGACATTTACAGGGGTTAATTTTCGGCTATTTTCTTCTATATTATAACACATTCTTGGAAAAGGTAATTGCCTGCATACTGCAGTCATCATGAACCTACTACCTATCCTGTAGGAGGATGGAATATTCCATCAAATTTTAAGTGTGGAAGTTGTCTTCCTCTTAGTATTCACTAAAATATGTGCTCAATATTTTAGTTGCTCAATGATACGGAGACTATTTTGGAAGCTTCCCTTAACGATTTTCTTTGCACAAAGCTCACTTGAAGGGCATTAGAGCTCATACAGATCAGTGGTCTTACTTCCAGAGTAGGAAAGAAAAGCCTGAGGACCTCAAATGGCTTTGTCACAATCCTGTGCTGGACGTGGCTAAATGAGGCCAAAGTCACTGGCCTACTGTTCTTTTCACTGCTTCATGCTCTCTATTAAAACTATGTCTGCCATAAATTAGTGCTCTAAAAATTCCCAAACAAGACCCAGAACTAGACCAGGGTAGGAATATAAAAACCGACTGAGAAACTGTTCATAAGGCAGATAGAGCACCATAACTAGATTAAGAATGTAAGTAGAACTGCTCCAAACTTAATCAAGCTTAGCAAGAGAATGTTGTTCCAGCTTATCATCCTACCTCCAGCACCTGCCAAATCCATGACATCCCATAATGGTGAAAATAGGATTCTGAAATTTCTATTTACATTCTGTTGTTTTTCTGCTTAAGAACCTACAATGTCTCCCTATGACATTTCATAGAGTCCTAATGGCTGTACATGGGTAGCATTTAGGCCCTCTATCAAGGGTCCTCATTCTTACCATCCAACCAGAAGTCCCGTTTCTCTGTAATATCAGGCTATCCTCAGTGAGAATGTAAAGAACCCTGAGATTTTAAGTGTCTTTGCTTATGATGTTGTCCCATCTAAGATTCCCATACTGACAATTGGACCCATGTTCCTGATACCTTCTTGGCAATTATTTTCTTCTCTTTTTTTCCAGGAGATATGTCTTTATTGCTGAGTGATTTTCCTTTCTCTTAACATTCAAACATGATATTAAGCGTCTCAGTTCCAGAATGAGCATCATACTTGGCATCATCTTCTTATCACACGATTCACAACACAGAGCAGTTATTTGTTTATTAATTGATTTTTAGTTTCTATTTTAGCAACTATCACTATAATGATATCAACTTTTTACTTTGGTAAAATATCAACTATTATGGCAGTGCATTTGCTTACTTTAAATGTAAATTCAATTTGCAATTTTCTATCTGAAACAAGACCTCTCTGATCCTCTGCCTTGTTGGAAAAAACAAAACAAAACAAAACAAAAAAAAAACCAAAAACAAAAACAAAAAAAACCCTCAATTCATCATTCTTAAATTGGACTAAGGGTTATGATCTCCTTTGCCCTGTAGAGTCAGCAATGAATTACAATGTTAAAATATTGCATGAGACTCATATTCATCCAAATTTCCTTGAAGTTAACCAAATCTCATTATGTGAAATCTTTCCTAACACTAATCCTATCAACTGTCTTAATCCGAGGACATTTTGGCTTTGGGTTGAAGAGGTCAGCCTGAAAGGTCAAAAGAGAAACATCCTTTTATCTTGTTAGAATATACTTTTGAAAGTTAAACCAAATTCACTCTGGAGAAAGAATACAAATAAACAATTCTACAATGGCAACAACCAGCGTCATTTTAATCCTTTCATCTCATATATAGGCTTTCAAGAATATATTTATTGAGCAACTCAACTGCTATAGTACGCATGAGACTATGTGCTGGAGATATGATGATTAATGCCATGAGCTGCACCTGCTAAAGGTTTACAGCCTACTGGGTTGTCTAATTTATTTAAAATTATATTAAAGTATCTATCCTGTTCAACTATAATAGAAGAAAACGAAAAGTACTAAACCAAGACAAAGCAGAGGATGGCTAAATCTGCCTGGGGAATCTAACAGGTTTCGCAAAGTCAGAGACATTTAACCTAAGTTTGGAAGATGCTCTTGGGAGCAAAAGAGGAAGGAGATTTCAGAGAGAGAAAACAGTGTCTTCAAAGGCATATCTGTAGTATGCCCTTGTAATATGCCAGCGTCCATTTGTGTTTCTGAAATAACCATATTAAAATGTGTCCCCTGTAGTTTATAATTTACTCCATATGTTGACACTGTACAGCCTTATCAGCTTACCATTATGTCTCAGACACAGGAGAGACACTGGATAGACCTGGGAATGGACATCGGGGGAGAGATGCAATTTAGAGGTCTTGTTAGATAGGACAAGATGATTAACTGAATCGGAGAATGAGGGAAAAAGTTAAGATGACACTGAAGTTTATATCCCGACTAGGTGAAAGATGACAATTGTTTAATAGAAGATAGTTTCTTGTGGCCATGGAACTCATGTTACCTACGGCTAGAAGTTTGAGATGAGGAGCTCTGAGCCCAAATCATGGAAAGTGGAGTGTTGTTGGCATGAGGGCTTAGATAAGAAATGTTTTTGATGAGGAAGCTTTTTCTCAGTAATGGGGATGGTTCCTGAGAAACATGCTGCTATTAGACATTTATGGTTTTGGTATTAGGAGCTTTCTCTCTTCTAAGAGCTCCAAGTAAGAGCCTGGTTCTTTAGTTAAATCCCTCAAATCCTTCATGCA